TGAGTCTCTTTGTTTGCCTGCCTCAAAAGCTATGACCACTAGCTAGCTGGAAATACAGGACCTGTTTCGGGAGCTGGTTGTCAGGCATCTCTATTACGTGTCCGGTCCAATGGAGCCGATGCTATATAATCATGGCTTCAATGTTGGTGGTGTTTGTGATGAAAGGAATTTTTAGTCCACTGGACAACTCCCCTGCCCGAGTTGTCATAGTTGTCATTTGACTACGTAAGATGTTCTACAAACAAGGTTCTTTGGGTAAAATTAATATCTTTTATTAGACCAATGCAAATAGTCAGGAAAAAATTCTTTGCAAGCTTTTGGGCACAAACACCCTTTGTCAGGCAGAGGAAGCATCTGCAGTTGGTCTGTGCTCTTCCTGGATCTTCTACTGCACATGCGTAGTAGTCAGTTCAGGTAAAATTATTCTAGCAAGAGTGAGCTCTTGTCCTTTGCTGACATAAGTGACCAAGTTTTGCTGTGAAGCATGTGTAGTGGCTAGTATCCACCTGTTAAGTGCTGAGTACAAGGTATGATGCTGTGTGCAAGTGTAGTAGAACATGTGCACAGGCATTTGATTAGATAGGATGTGGTATAAGTGAGTGTTTGATACAAAGTTTGATGATAGGAATTGTTGCAGACTGCATGAGGCAAGTGAGAATTTCACTAGACGGTATATGGTCTGAGCATGTGCTTGATACAAAACTTGGTGATGAACAGGCTGGTGTGAAGTGATTGGATGAGTAAGATGAAGTGATTTGGGGGTATAAGAGTCTGACCTTAGCCTGTGTGTTGAAGAAGAAGGGGGTTACTCCTCCAGGGAGAAAGATTCTGATCCATGAGCTGTGCTGATTCTGTTACGGTCCTGGGTGGTAATGAAGTAAGTGAGCTCTTGGAGAATCTAACTTGGACATAGCTCTTCTCTAATCAAACCCTTGGTAATTTTTTTGCATGACGTTCCTAGAGCTACAGAAATAATAGCTTGTGGTAAACACTAATACCATGATGGAGGTCTTAGTCTCTGCTTTCTGTTGAGCGAGCCCAGAGAAATGAAGTTAAGGATCAGGACGGCAGGAAGGGTAGTGTACATTTGCCTGATAGTGTGAGTGAAGTATTTAGCTGAGTGATTTGATGCGACTATAAAAAGGTCTGGTGTATGTAAGCTCTGTAATAGCTGACCATTTGAGAAAGAAGAAACTATTTTGCATGACAGAGGGAGTATGAATTTGTGTATCTGTGGGCCAGTAGCTAGGGTTGTGAAACAATGCCAACTTATCTCTGTTCCTAGAATGAAAATTGCTGCATGACTCTGGTATATGTTAATATAACTTTTTCCTTTACTGTTCTATCCTGTTTATAATTTATATTTAATTGTATCTAACAATATACTTACATTTGGTTTAATATATTTCTGTGCGTGCATTTATTTTGTGAAAATTCTCATATAAAACCTAGCGGATATCCAGCCTCAGTTTTAACTCTTATGTTATCTGGTTAAAACTTACGGCTCTTGACCATTTTGCCCAAGTATTTTAATTAGATTCCTGCCCACCCTGATATCAATTCATCTGTGGACTTTAGTTACAATATTGATGAGTTAACACTTGCTTGAGCCAAAATGCTGGCATTTATTCTTCTGTCCTCCCAATTGACATGGAGGATTTTCCGAAGACATCATTAATAGTAATGTTTCAAAGCTTTCAGGTGTTTCTGATATGTTAAAATCACAGAACCATAGAAAATCAGGGTTGGAAGGGATCCCAGGAGATCATCTGGTCCAAGCCCTGCTCAAACCAGGACCAGCCGCAACTAGATCAGCCAAGGCTTTGCCTAGCTGGGTCTTAAAAACCTCCAAGGATGGAGATTCCACAACCTCTCTGGGTAACTTGGTTTCAGGGACTTACTATTCTCCTTGTGAGACAGTTTTTCCTAATACCTAACTAAACTTCCCCTGCTGCAACTTGAGACCACTGCTCCTTGTTCTGCCATCTGCCACCACTGAGAACAATCTAGCTCCATTCTAATCGGAACTACCCTTCAGGTAGTTGAAGGCTGCTATTAAATCTGCTCTTCATCTTCTCTTCTGCAGACTAAATAAACCCAGTGTCATCAGCTTCTTCTCAGAAGTCACATACACCAGCCCACTAAACATTTTTGTTGTCCTCCACTGGATTCTCTCCAATTTGTTCACAACCTTCCTGTAGTGAGGGGCCCAAAACTGGACACAGTACCCCAAATGTGGCCTCACCAATACCAAGGGAAGAATCACTTCCCTCCCTCTGCTGGCAACAATCCTACTAATGCCTCCCACTAGGCTGTTAGCATTCTTCGCAACAAGGGCACACTATTGGCTTATATTCATTTTATAATCCACTGTAACGGCCACGTCCTTTTCTGCAGAGCTGCTGCTGAGCCAATCAGCCCCCAGCCTGTACTGGTGCATGGCATAGTTCTGTCCTAAGTGCAGGACTTTGCACTTGTCCTCAATGGATGCTGGAGAATTCAACCATAGATACTCTGAGGGACCTGGGAGCTAAAAGTCACTATTTT